AAATATAAACATAATTAATACCAGCTAAATTTTTCCAAGATGTCCTTTTCTTTTACTTGCCTGAAAACTCAACAGCTTTGTAGAAATGTTAAGATAATATTAATACACATAATCCTACCACATTAACACAAACATTTTTGTTTTGCTTACTACTACAAGTATTTTACACAAAAGTAATAGGAGGCATGGTCAAACATTTCCATTGCTTAACTATTTTAATCATCACAACATTCTGTGAGTGGGGCTCTGTTGCCATTAATATCTTAAAGATGGTAAAACTAAGGCATGGCAAGGCTGAGTAATTTACCATGGGTCCCAAAGCTACTAACGGTCCCATGGTGAAGAGGAAGTGTTTAAACCAGGCAGTGTGCCCTACCGCAGTCATCACCATACTTATTGCCAAATATTTACATAGCGCCCTACTTAGGGTACACATTATTTTATTTAACTTCATATAATAAACATTTTTTCTGGTTTTGACATAGTCTAGTCCTTCTGACTACCACTTTAATAGCTTTGTGACAGCTGCATATGCGTCTTAAGCTAGAATGTGGACGTTTCCTACATTTTTTCCTAGTAGAGAGGATGAGAGCGCTCAGAATTATGCACATATACATATTTTAGAAATGTGTTTGAATAAAATATTTGGGACAATGTTCCCAGCAGAATAACTAGTATCAACGGTAAGCCCTTTATTGCCGCTTCTGTACCGACTTGCGTAAAAGGCCCTATCGATTGAGCCTGGTGCTGATGAAGAATGGATGGACCAGTCGCACAGTAACCAGCACTGGGGGGCCTACGAGCTGTAATGTTTGCTACGTGAGTGGACATAAGCTATGACCGCAAATTGCCTTAATTTGCATGTTTCCAATCGTTACCTAACTTACCCTGAGGTTGTTAGGGTTGTAGTAGTTTGTAGTAGTAGTAGTATTTTGTTTTTGTTTTGTTTTTTTTGCTCCTACATCTCTTCTCCCACTGGACCTGCAAGTAGAGTTCCTCCTTGTTCCTTTCTCAGTACAGTTTCTCCCCCACCTAAAATCTGCAATTTGGAATCTAACCCCAGCAGATTTAGTAACAGACTAATCTTCATTTCCCTATGGCCTGCAGAACCCTAGTATCATTCCTGGGCATGTCTCCACAAATATCTTTTGGATTAGTCCCTTTTTTGAATACTTCTCTTGCTTCATCTCTTGTGATTTTAATACACATTTAGATACTTGTTTTAATACAGTGTCTTGTCGGTCCCATGAACTCACTGATGACCTCCTAAGTCTCTCCCCACCTCAGCAACTTGTCCCCACGGTCATCATTAACAACTATACACAATTTTCCATAAATTTTCC